AAATGGTACTTACTTGCGCTTATCCGGATTGTTCAAACCGACTTAAAACTAAAAGATTACGTTCTCTCGCGCGAACTCAGTTAAAGACAGTTAAAAACAGTTAGACATAGTGGTGTATTAGAGGTAAAATATGATATAAATACTGTTCGGTTTCTGGCACAAGCCGATCGTTTCGTGTCTTAGGACATCAATGTGTCGTCACGAGCCGCAGGGGTTAATTTGGATTTGTCTGTGCATGTTTTCTTTACTCTCATAGATTTTTTTACCATTGCCATGCATTATACGACTGACAGACTGCAACGGCTGGACTTAAAAATCATAATTTGTGTTCAACTGAAGAAACAAAGTCACCTACATCTTGGATGCCCTGGGGGTAAGCAGATAAACATCAAAGTTTCATTTTTGGATGAACTATACCTTTAAACATTAGGTTGTGCAATGTCATTACATCTTATAGTCAACCTACTGACTGAATGTAGCCAATTTTCCAACACATTTTGAGGCCTGGAAACCAAACTTGTACGATTTCCTGATATTTACAGGTTTTCTATGAGCGTGGGAGCCTTAAATGTATGTATTAAATTCCAGTGCGTTGTGATTGGCCGAATACCTCAAGCTTGTGACGGAAAGGTTACGCCTCTCACATACTGTTGGTGTTCTGGCCAGCGCAAGAGTGTCGTAAATACAACTTAACCACTGATTTCTAGTCGTGTCCATTTTTGGAAAGCCAAACAAAGTAGTTGTTTGGCAGGCTGAGTGAGCAGATGCGGCGGATTCGATGAAGGAGCGTCCGGAGGGCTTGCGGAATATGACCCCTTTAATATCAGATATTAATATATCATAAAAAGGTCCGAATCTATTTGGTAAACTCAACTACAGAACTTAAAATGAGATACAGTATAGAAATGAAACAACTAAATTAATATTCAAAAGGCAATCTCAGAATGAAGATACCAAAAGATCTGATAGTACTAGTCGAGTTGTACAAATATTCATCAGGAATGGATATGGGTTAGTCTCTGTTGTCTCCATGTTAAAGGACATCTGTCAGAGAACAAATTGTCAAGCTTGCCAGTCTCGTGTACAATGGGTCAGCAAATGCAAATACAATCAATTGTTGTAAATACTGTGTGTTACGTAATCTCTTGCAGCTTCTGCAAACAGTGCAATTGAAATACTATATTCAACATTCACAATTTCACTGCCACAAAACATTGTGTTATTATTTTATTATGATAAAAATGATTTTATATACACAGATAAATGTTTAGATGAATGAACTTATTGACCCTTGAAGGTAAGCAACATCAACTGCACAATCTACAGCACACAGTAACTAGCAAACACTCTGATATTTCATATAAGATTGTACAGTATACAGTGCAACAGAATGTGGGAAAACATAAATGAGTTGCACGTACACAGATGGCAGATGACATGAAAAGCTTCTCTGTCAGATTTATTGACTATTGGATTGTGTAAATGTGGTGTGATGGGAGAAGCAGACAGTCTATTGTGTAATAGCAGCAGGCGGAAAAACATCATGTTGACTTTTCTGCCCGCTGCTACTGATTTTACACGGACCACCTGTAGATCTGTGTTTATGCTCACATGGACATGACAATCAGGGACCTGCTGTGTGACATTACTTCATCGAATTGTTTTACTTTTTGTGTATTTTTTTTTTAATTATTTGATTATTATTTTTTTGACTTCTTATTTTTTCATTATAATACCCCATGACCCTAGCAATTCATTTTCACATGACATTTTCACATGTTAAAGAATGTTAAAGAGGAAATTGTGGCATTTTTTTAGATACAAAATGTGTGGTATGGTCATGTCAACTTCCCCTCGCTGATTGTAAAACTGCTGACACCACAGTACGATATTGAAAAGAAGAGCAGTAGGTATATCATTTTGTAATTAGCATTTATGTTTGTTTTTATTTTCACTTTGTCGCTTATAAACACATCTCTCTCTCTCTCTCTCTCTCTCTCTCTCTCTCTCTCTCTCGCTCTCTCTTTTAATTAATTACTTTCTTTTCTGAATTAAGAAAGAAAGACATTTATAAATGGTAATCTGTCATGACCACTAGGACTTTCTGCAGACGTTTTCACTGTTTGGGAAGAACACATACACTCTTAAGAAGGGTTCTAGAGTATAGACAGTACCAATTTAGGGTTCTTCAGCTTGTAACAATAGTTGAACCCTTTTTATAAGGTTCCATAAAGAACCATGCTTTAAAAGTGCTATATAGGACCTTAATGGTTTTGTAAAGAACATTTTTAATAATAATACTTTTTTTTCATCTGCCTGGTCTTATAATATCTTGTAGTCTCTATTAGGGTTTTACATCAACACCACAACAGCATGTTGTGACAGTTAGGTACTTTCTTGACATATGAAATTATAACATTTATGACAGTGCTCTAAAAACAGTTATTAGTTTAATATAATAATAAATGATAATTGACACTGAATATGAATAAATACAGAAGTAAAACCCAAAAGTAGAAACAGAAAATAGATGTAATGAAGACCAGGTTCCAGTAAAATATCTTGACAATCATCTTTGGCAATTTCTCTTTGCAAATAATGAGGTTGTGTTAACTGATACACTCTTAAAAATAAAGGTGCTTCACGATGCCATAGAAGAACCTTTTTGTCTAAATGGTTCCATAAAGAACCTTTAACATCTGAAGAACCTTTCTGTTTGACAAAAGGTTCTTTGGGGCGAAAGAAGGTTCTTCAGATTATAAAAAGGTAAGAAAGAGATGGTTCTTTAAAGAACCTTTGACTGAATGGTTCTTTGTGGAACCAAAAATGGTTCTTCTATGGCATCGCTTGAAGAACCTTTTGAAGCACCTTTATTTTTAAGAGTGTAGGTGGCAGCATCTGACTGTTAGAAATACACAATTGGGATTAGAGTTGCAGTGTGTTTCTTCCATTTGTTTCAAGGGATAGTTCACCCAAAAATCTCACCCTATTTTTTTAATACTATCGAAGTCAGTGGCTACCAAATGAGGTTACTCACATTCTTCAAAATATCTTCTTTTGTGTTGAGCAGAAGAAAGAAACTCACTCCGGTTTGAAACAAGTGGGATTGAGTAAATGATGGCAGAATTTACATTTTTTTAGGTGAACTATCCCTAAAAAACAATTATGTTTAGAAAGGTAGTCATTGTGAATGGACAGTATGCGACATGTTAAAAGGAAAAAGTGTTAAAAAGTCGTAGGATAGCTTTATTTATTTATTTTTGCAACTGAGTATGTTGATGTATGCTGAGTATGTTAGAGTAAAGCGCTAACAATACCATATCTCTGTAGTGAGGAAGAGAGAAGAGATACATATCCTCAACTGAACAGAGCTGCTCTTGCTCTTTCTGTTAAAAAGAGACATTTTCAGAAAGAAATATTTCAGCATATATATATATATATACAGTATATACACTACCAGTTTTTGAACAGTAAGATTTTGAAAGTTTTTAAAAGAATTCTCTTCTCCTCACCGAGCCATCATTTATTTGATCCAAAATACAGCAAAAGCAATATTGTGAAATATTTTTTTTATTTCAATTAACTGCTTTCTATTTGAATATATTTTAAAATGTAATTTATTCCTGTGATCAAAGCTACATTTTCAGCATCATTACCCCAGTCTTCAGTGTGACGTGATCCTTCAGAAATCATCCTAATATGCTGATTTGCTGTTCAAACATTTATTATTATTATTATTATTATTATCAATATTTAACACCGTTGAGTACATTTTTTCCCAGTATTCTTTGATGAATAGAAATATCCAAAGATCGGCATTTATCTGAAATAAAAAGCTTGAAGTCAGTATAAATTGTTTTTTTTGGCGGGGGGCATCTTTATAATAAAGAATAAAGCATCTTTGTTAAATAAAGAAATTGATCAAAAGTGATGATAAAAACATTTATAATGTTACAAAAGATTTCTATTTTCAGATAAATGCTGTTCTTCTGAGCTTTCTATTCATCAAAGAAAAAAATTATACTCGGCTGTTTTCAACGTAATAATCATAATAATAATAATAATAGTAATAAATGTTTTTGAGCAGCAAATACAAATATTAGAATGATTTCTGAAGGATCACGTGACTGGAGTAATGATGCTAGAAATTCAGCTTTGAAATCACAGGAATAAATTACATTTTAAAATATATTCAAATAGAAAACAGTTATTTATATTTATATATGATATTTTTTTCAAAATTGTACTGTTTTTGCTGTACTTTGGAATGCATCAAATAAATGCAGGCTTGGTGAGCAGAAGACAACTTTTAACTGGTATTGTATATATACATACAGTATAGGTCTACACACACACACACACAGTTTAGTTTCCATTATAATTCTATCCTATACTGTGGAAAAAGCACTTTGACATTGGCGTGGATATAAAAAATACAGTTTGTATGATAGCAGCTAAAACATTAAAAATGCCACATGTTTCATATTTTCCTCTGCCTACATTTCCTTTTAAAATCTGGATGAAATCCATATTAATTGTCATAACATTTCATAATAGACCTACAGGAGGTGCACACACCCAGTTTGTATCCTTCAGTAGATGACAGCATGCTATGGGATGATATTAGACTCAAAATGATTAATAGATGCACGCACAATTATCCATGTACTGCATACATTTTATACATGTATCTTACAAACCACAAACAAATGCCTTTCAATTTGAGTCTGTGGAATTCTGGATTAAATGATTGTGCAGCGATTTGTACAAATACAGACATGTATAAAACACAATAAAAATGTTCTGTTCTGCATTAATATATCATAAATTGCTCATGCAAAAAGGAATCTGTGCTTAGATCAGGTGACACGCTTGCATTAATTGACGTCTAGTTCGAAACTGTACTCAATGGATTGTATGCAGGACATGGATAATTGTGCGTGCATCTATTAATCATTTTGAGTCTAATATCGTCCCATAGCATGCTGACCTCATTTCCGGTCGGTCCCTTCATCAGTCAGCCGGTGGCGCGCTCGCTCGTGTTTTTAGAGCTCGCGCAGCATTCCACACGCGCTGAGAGCGGGATCAACGCGCACAACAACAACAGCTCGCGGACCGTTTACTGAGCTGTTTTCCATTTAAGAGCCTCTTACAAGAATCCACAGCGGGATAATTTCAGCCCAAATCCCAGCAGAGAGTCACCGTGGAAGATGGGTTCAGTCCCGGCCGTATCTGTGCTCATTCTGGCCATCGCTGTTCCGAGTCTAGCCGGATACATTGAGGTACGTGCGCACTAATATGTCACCCTTGTTTTCATAATTATCTTACATCGTTTACTCTGATATTTCTGTACTGAGACGGCTTTTTATTGTGATATCAATATTTCTGGGTAAGTAGTAGTTTACTAATAATGTTAAGCTTATAAAATCATTAACGTTAGTCTGTTGAGATACTTTAAAGTGTCCGTGTCCCTTGTTGTGTAAGATTTAGACTAATTGTAGACCAGAAAAGACCCTAATTCTAATTTCATATGAAATATTAAATGAGTGTTATTTTGTAATTTGTCCCTGGATGGAGTTAAACGAATAAAAAATGTCTTTAGACGAGCTGTTAAATGCCTTTATCTTTTCACTGTAGTATTTATCTCCGTTGTTTATTTCTGTTGTTGTTTTGGAAAACTGAACCCCAAACATTGATTTGATCATAGTGTCAGTTTGAAGTCCTCAGTAGCTAATATCTGAATGTACACGTATGTTTTTAAAACCTTTAGATACCCTCAAATCTTTTTTTTAACCAATAATGTTAGTTTCTGTTTTAATTTTTGCATTATTTCATAAAAGCATGGATTATAACTGTGGTCTTACATTGGAGGATATCCACACTTTTCCTTGGTGACCGTTACAGAAGAGACCTTTTAAAGGTCTGGATCTACTCTGAGCTTTGGCTTGGTGGTGCAAAATGACAGAAAAATGAAAAGAATCAAGATGCTTCAAAATATCTGATCACACTATATAACCGAAATGATTCAGATCGTTATACATATTCATCAGAAATGGCTTTCAGGTGTTTGGTCTGATAAATGTGTGATAAATCACTCCCCATGTTAAAGGACAAGTTTGTATTTGTCGGAGAACACTGCGTTGGGCTTGTGAAACGTGTCGGTTGCTTTCACAGTAGGCAAATTATGCGAATGAACTCCTGTAAGAGAGTCAAGTTTATGGACTCGAACGCTCACACCTTTCCTGGATGATCCCTGTCTGGTTGCTTCAAACCTTACCTAATCACAGCTGTCCTTGTCCTAGAGGCGTTTTTGTGCTTTTACATGTGCACCAAAGTCCTTTCCGATGGCATGCTCTTCCAATAAGAGCTCAGCCTGCAGGCATGATATAACAAATTATGAAACAATTCTTTTCAGTGCCAGAAATAATGGCAGTGACGCACTGAAATAAACAATGAAATCTCTTTGTTGCTAATTGATGCATTTAGAGAGAAAGGAGCTGCCTGTGGTTCACCATCATGAGGAGGTGCAGTGACGTTTATGGATATGCATAGATCAGCATTACTGTAGAAAATCAAAGAATCATTTTACCTTCAGATCAATATTATGACCCTATTGTATTTCTGTATATTCTTTTGTATTTGTTATACAGTTGACTCCTTGATTGTTTTGATCTGATAGCTCCTCAAGCGTACGATTACCATGGTAAAATGTTATTTTGAGAGAGGCGTGTGTTTCCAGACTGTGTGCGGGAGTTTGATGCTGAGCTAGTGAGTCTCGTTGACCTCAGACCTGATTTATAACCTGTTCTGCAGAGGATCTGTGCAGCCCTGAGCTCTTGCTAACTAAACTGCAGGAGAACTGCATGCATTATTCAAATTTATCTACCAGATAAATTTGCGACACTTCACAGTACCATTCAAAAGATTGGGTTTGCTAATATTTCTTTTGAAAATTCTTTAAATCTCACCAAGAATCATAAAAAAAAAAATGCAGTGAAAACCGTAAAATTGTGAAATATTATTAGTTAAAATAAGTGCTCTCTATTTTAATATAGGAATAAATTACATTTGATCATATGATGGCAAAGCTGAATTTTCCTTTGAATGTAACTTTTAGGGTTTGTTGTTGTCATTAATTTAATAGCTGTAAATTGAACAAATATAATGCAACTCGATGTAAACTTGATTGACAATAAGAAAACAAACGTCAAATTGGCAAGTGTTTGAATGTTAAAGTCATGGAGTCATTGTTTTTGCAACTAAAGCAGTGGCATTAATGTATAACAATCACAGGGCACTCTATTGCACTTTTTTTTGAGAAAAATGCAATGAGGTATGCATACAATGCGTTTCTCCAGTCCTATTTAATTGTTTGGCTGTTGCAATGCATCTCCCTGTTTTTACCGACTTGCGCCATTAGCGTTGCTTTTTTTAAAAACTGCTTGTCAAGTAATAGCCCCTTTCATACTGTAATACCAGTAAATTGCCGTAAAATTATTGGAACGACTTTACCTGTAGATACAAAAATGCGCTGTTCACACAGGCAATGGCATTGTGTCTTTTTACTGGTAAAGCACCATTCACATATCATTTTCAAAATACCGGTAAATTCTGTGACATCATTAATCGGAAATTACCTCTCCTCCCGGTATTGTTTGTAAACAGGGAAAGGGTATACACAGTCAGTGTTTTTATTGACGTTTTAATTTTTGTCAAACATTCACACTCGTGCAGCTGCTTTTTGCCCAGAGACATTGTATTAGATGAGTTCAACCCGAACTACACCGTGCGGAGTAAATGTGTAATCTGCGTCAGAATTGGATTTCTTTTTTTAATGAAATGATGTCTTGCCGCCAGCCAATCGCTGCATTGCTGATCGTGGTTTCGAGTAATGATACATAGCCCCTTTTAAACCAACCCATGAACGCGCAATTATCTCAGATAACTCAATCCAGCCAGACTAATCATCAACAACAGGTGCGTTTGAAGAACCGAATTAGCCAGATCCTGATTAGCGCGATGATATCATCTTGGATGTGACGTTTCATCTCGGATGTAATAAGCGACGAATGAAGAACGGGCCCCTGATCATTTTATCTGTGTTTTCCAAAAGTGTATTTGCTCAAATCCTGTTTTGTTAGCTTTCACGGTAGATTGTCTGGCTCAGTGTGTCAGTTTTTGCTTGTACAGCTTTCATAATGACTGGCACTACCGCTCTGTTTTTTTTTTCCTTGAGTTGTTTTTGTTGTCAAATGTGTATTTTTAAAAGAACAAATTCAGGGGAAAAAAATTTTGTTTATTTGAAATGAGTTCATTCCTTGAACCATTAATTTAGAAATTAGTTCCTCTCCAATTCAAATGAATAAACTACCCAACCCAAAGCCCAGCCTTGCTGATATAACATGTTGCCAACTAACGCAACACAGGCATGCTGGAATTTGACTGGCGCCAAATCATATTTGTGCTGTGTTCAAAGCTTGCCTGCTTTTTCACATTTTAGTGTTTTTACTGATTGTAGCACAAGCTTTGGCACATACTAACATGAAGGAAGTGTTTATTTTAAATGCTTAAAGCAATGCCCTGTGTGCTCCAGTAACCTGCTGACAGATTCAGATAATAAGAGTTATCTTCAAGCACATTAAAAACACTGAACTTGGCGTACTTGGGAGTTACGCAACCCCAGTATTGTCACAGTATATGTTTAAGAGAAATCTAAAAAGGAGCTTGTAAAATCTCAGTGGTTGAGTGGGAGTCTCTGTGCTCTTTTCCAAGCCGCTGAGATGGTAAACAAAAAGTGTTGTCTCTTCTCTAGGTTGCTCAAGGGCCCACCTTGCTCTTGTTATGCAGTCGGGCAGCACTGCCTCCTATGATGGGACTCTAGGCCCTTGTAATGATGCATTGCAAGGAGTAGTTGAACAAAAGGATTAAAGTCAACCTGAAATTTAATCTAATCGCATTCCTGCTCTTATTTGGCATGATTCATCAGTGCACGTTATAAAAAAAAAAAAAAAAGGTTGTTTTTGTAGTCTTTTATCATAATAATGTGGTGCATCCCTGAAATTACTGTGCTTTTTGGCTTAAGGCCCATTCACACCAAGCACGATAACGATAAAGATATAGTTCTAAAAATTGTTCTCAATATTAAAGAATAGCATAGTTCACACCATAACGATACAGAGGAACAATATCATTGTGATCACTTTCAAAAACGATTTTTCTCCAGCTGATGAACGATAAAAGACTGACAGCCAATCAGAATCCATCCTGCTGTAACGAGCTTGAGAATTTAAAGCGGCAGACGCATGTGCGCTTAGAATAAACAGACAATATCGTTCGCTGGTGTAGACGCTAATATCGTTATCTTTATAGTTATCGTTCTTGGTGTGAACGGGGCTTTACCCATGTATATTTCTTGAAAGGAAGAAAATTTATTTTTCTAAATTTTCCTAACTGTATTGTCTACTGGAAACATTATTGGAATTTATTTAATTGATTTATTTGTTTTCTTAATTATTTACAATAGTTAAATTATTGTATACAATAATTAATTTAGTTATCATTAAGTCTTTTTATATTATCTTATTTAAATATCTTTAGTTTGCCATGAATATAGCCTTTGCTGATATGCTGTAAAATTTTTAATGCAGAAAATAATAATAATAATAATAAACTTAGCTTTTTCTCTGACATCCAATCCATTCTAGTATGGACTGTTCACTTTTCACAATCCGTGTCCTGCCTTATATTTCTTCCCAATAAAAATCTTGTTTCCCTCATATTATAGATTTTAATTGAGTTGTGAGTGCCTTTTGAGTGTTGCCTTTATTTAATTTTTTTCTAAATCTTGTTGGTTGTTCTGATCAAATCTTCCACCAGGTTAGAAACATCATTCCATAAAGTTAAGGCACTGACTCTAAAGCAACATTTCTTTGGATTTCGCACCTGTGTTTGGTTAACCACATGTAGTGGTTTTATGTGTGTTTGCGGGGGTGATTCTGTCTGCAGCCTTTGATGGCACGCAAGCCATTTGTATGCAGTCTTCATTGTGTGGATGTGTTAGCAGGGCTTTTAATAGCATGGATTGCTCGCACCAGGACTGATGAATGGATGTCGGTGAGGGGCTATTGTGAGCTCTGAATGGGTGCAAGCATCCTGACCAGCACAAGGACCCGATTGGGACATAACCGCATGTGTGTTTATCAGATGCGACGACAGCCAGGCTGATGTTAATTGCCACATTGTGCAGTTCTCTTGACGGGATGCTCAGTGGAAGCATACAGAG